CGGAGTCAACTATAATAATAATAAGAATACTAATAAATCTCGCAATAAAAAAACAAAAATGTCTATTGTAAGTATAAGTTTTTAATTATATTATCATATTTAACTTAAATATTGCGTTATATCATGGAAGAAAATTTTTAATGAATTGATCTGTTTTTCTACAGAGTATTGACTCACGAAGATCAGAAGAAAAAGAAAGTTTTGGATTTGCTAAATCAATGGAACTTGAAAGAGAAAAAGAACTAGAATTGGAATTGGATAAACTTCGATTGGCACAATTGCAAGCAAAGTTTGACGAGAGTTTGGAAGCACTTTGGGATTCAGGACCAGGCAATGCACAAGACACGGCTTCGATTTGGGCAGCACCTACACTTTCTATTCCTTCAGGACCCCTTTGGCCGACAGATACTACCGAGACAATCTTTACTTTATCCACCTCAGACAATGGTTATGCTACTGACACGCCGTATCAGGAATCTATTGTTGACGACTCGCCGCTTATTCCATGGGACATCGATTTAATCAGCATTGAAGATTATGCGGATGAATATAGTAACAAGAATAAATCAGGTCAGTATTTCAGATATATATAATCTATCAGTATCACGACATAGTAATACTGACTTAAGTATATCCAACGGATAGGAGATCGTTCTGACATGTAAGTAAATAACAGAATTCATCAAGTTAGTCGTAGAATGTCATTCTGTATCTGTGTCGTGCTGCAATATATGTTTTATTCTTATTTTTTATTTTATATACGTGTAAAAATTAGTTGATTAACTTTATTGCAAAATAAATAAATATCTAATATATATTATTCCAGAGAACAATGTTAACTGGTCTGACTCAGCTATGGATGGATCATGGTGCTGGAAAGGGCTTGGTAGTAATTTAGCTACCTTGGGCCACAGTCCTCAGACAGGTAGCTGCTTCTTTCCAGTCGCTCCGCGTAAAACTCCCATTGGAACACGCAAAGAATCTCGTTCAAATCTGAAAGTAAACAGCCTTCCAGAACCGGACGAGGATTTGCTTACTTCCGCTCGCACACACTTTCGTCCAATAAAGGATGATGGTCAGTGGGCCGATGGGACTACATTTCCTGTGAACAATACTTTAGAGCGGGTCGCATATCGCAGATCTGAGTCAGGAAACTTGTTATATCTACCTGGTGGAGAGAGTCCTTACATGGAGTATCGAGAGAACGACTCATCGCTTTCTCCAGTATCTTCGAATTTAACGTTGAAATTCAGGGTGCGTCAATGCGACAAGTGCGTTCAAACCGAGCCCATTCGATCTCCGGTCAAACGCAGAATTCTCTCCGAACAGGATCATTTTCATTATACTCCAATTGGAGTGGAAGATACTGTTATTCGCGAAGAAGAGAATGTCGAGAAAGATTGCTATGCATTGGGTCAACTGGGCTGGGTACGATCTAATGTACCTCTGCACAATGATAGGAAAAGGTAATAAAGCGTCTCTAGAAGGAATTCGTACTACTGAAATTGTACTATTGACAGCTTTGTCTTTTTATTTTCTTTTTTTTTTTTTTTTCGGTTTTAATTTGTTATGCTATGCATTATTGCTGTTGAGTTGAAAAATGATTGAAAAAATAAGCTTATATATCCATCATTTTATTTTAATACAGCGAAACGTATATATATTAATATTCTGTTGCGCATTAAAATAAGGCTTTTCACGTTTGTTCGGAGGTACAAATATCTATTAAAATAAAAAATCATTGGCTGAATAGTGAAAATAAAATTTTTGTTGTTGGTTACGTGTTAAATTATTTGAGTTATGAACATCGAGGGAATACTTTTTCTTTGTTATATCAGTCAATATGTAACTTGAAATTGATAAACTGTATGTGTAAGTTCAGTATGTAATATATATATATATATATATATACATACGCATAATAAATCACATGGTATGTAGTATGTTATGATATTAAGCAGCATTTAATTGAGCAAATACTTTTTGAGAAATTGGTCTCAATTTGTTACTATATAGGTTGAATTTAATTTGAAGCGCGCTATTTAACATGTAACATAGAATGTATATAGTCTGAGTACTTAGTCAAATTGTTGTAATTACAATTAAAATTACATGTTTAATATGTTTTTTCCGATAGAAGGCACAGTAGCAGTTTCGGATGCCAGCCTCTGACGACTTTGCGTCCGTTGACCTTATGAACTGGAACTTAATATGAGCTGCTACAAATGCTATGTGACTGGAAGGTTTGAGGTGTAGTTATGCTTTTTTCTCAAGATGACGACGTAAATTGTTAACAGAGAAAGAAAAATAAAAGAATATGACATCGGGGGGCCTCTTGGCATGTGGAATTTGTTATGCATGTATCCAAGATGGTGCCGTTAAATGAAAAAAAAAAAAATGTATCCCCCGTTGTCGTTGAACAGAGTAAAAAAAAAAAAAAAAAATATTAACGGTCGTAACGCGAGCGAAGCGAGACGAAAGAAATATTAAACGTTCATTTAGATAATTATTATTAACCCTTTGAAAAATAAAAAGGAAAAAAAAAAGAACGGAATGAAATAGAAAGAAAAAAAAAAGGTATATATGTTACGCAACGTTCAACGATGAGAACGTGTGCAAAAGAGAAAGGAAAAAAGTATCGAGAACGTAGTCAATGAGATTTCGTTTGTAGCTTGTTGATAATTTTATGTGAACTTTTTCGAGGAGAAAGAAACGAAAACAAAAAAAAAAAAAAATATATATATATATATATATATAATTAGTGCGCTGATTTTTCTAGAAATTGTAGCGTGCAGTTTTTTCCTTTTTTGTTTCTTATCTGATGTGCAGGCGTTCATTGTATGTTTGCATTGGATGCACTGCAGGAAAGAGAGAAAAAATGAAAATAACGAGTAACTAAGAAAAAATGCCAAAAAAAGAATGAAATTAACTTAAAAAAAAAAAAAAAAAAAAAAAAAAAAAAAA